GTAGTTACCGGTGACGCCCCTCTGCTCACCCCTTCACCAGTGCTCGCCTGCGGTGAAGAGATCCTGGCACGGGTCTGTTGAGTGGGTCACGGGGAATGCCCGGAACACTCTCAGACATCTCCTTTTCTCTCTTTTTTTATATACAGTTTTTAGATGACGGGAAGAAGGTTTTGGCTAGGGTAAGTAGTGGGTAAGTATCGCATTGTTTCACGTCATAAACTAACACTATTTTCTTTCCTTTTTCTTTTTTTCCTTTTTTTACTTTTCCTGGTGGGTATTCTGGGAGATCGGATCCAATGGGACTCTGGTGGAGTTGTGGATCGAGTTTGAGGGACTGATTCGGTGGCTACTTAGCTGCTTGTGAAGGATCTGTCCCTGAAGCTGGATAGAGATAAAAGGTTGAGTCTGCTGCTTGGCATGCCGATTGAAGGCAATAGTTATTCATTATCTATCTACCCATTATGCAGTACATATTATAATTTAGTGCATGTAAAAACTTAGTTGTAATAGTATTAATATAATTCAGTAATTGTGCATTAAATAATAACTTCTTAATAATAATCTTAATGATAACGAAAAATGACAGTTACTGCCAAAAAAATAATAAAAATGATATTAATATATTTAGCCATGAGAGAGGATAACAGCCGTTATGCATGGCCGGGCAATATTCTTTAAATACAGCATTGATAGCGTGCCCACTTTAATAATAATATCCAACTCTTTCTTTATATTGGATAAATATGTCCCATTATGTACATTGCCATGGTACATAAGATTCCACTTTGGATGACAGAAGCATTTGTTCTATGCATTCAATAGTACCGTTATAATAGGTTGGATAAAGAAAAAAGTCAGCTCTGATTAGGCCGCTACTTGAGGAAACGCTTTCAATAACGTTTATAATATGAAGTATTAGTATAGAAAACCATATTACCATGTCTACTCAGTACACGTAACAAAGTTATTATTATCTGTTTGGGGTGCAGTTAATCTCTCTTGAAGCATTACTACATGATTACATGCTGAATAGTTACTGTAAAAAGCAAGCTTGCATGTAGAACAATCACACCAAACACAATACAAGCGTTTGCAGTAAATTCTTTCAATTTAACGTCAAAGCATAATCACGTGTGATTGGTGTCGATAATTGTCTATCTTTAGCACAGTTACACCAATAATTCTCGTTCTTATGGTAAAGCATAATAATAATATATTACACAGTTCTTTGACGTGCGATGTATAAACTACAAAGCCAAGATCTCAACTTAGATGAATCACAAAGTTAGTAATTATTCTAATAAGATGGATTGGTCAATAGTATGCGCAATTTTCAATATATAAACTCGCAATTTTGGTTCAGTTTTAAAGCATTACCAGTTGGATGTGCTTGATCCAGTCGTGTGGACCGAAGAGCCTGATAATCGGCACTCGCGACGTTTTTCCATTATCGACGGCCAACTGTACTCTAATAATATTGCTGTAGAGGAGAGACAGAGCTTTAATGATAGTGATCCATTGGGTCTTAGACCAAGCATATTCAGGTGAGTGACAATTACTATGGGTATGAATTGTTGAAAAGGAATTGCAGTTGATTTATATAACATTTCTGTTTATTAGCAACAATGAGCATATCCAACGCGTGGCTCAAGGAGATTACGAATTCTTTAAAGAGCGTATGTTCATGCGTCTAAATGTCTATACCACATATCGTTGTCTCAATAGCACTAATAAACATGATTTCTGTTTAGAATCTCAACTATTCGTCAGTTCGAAATCGTTTAATTCAAAAGTGTTTTTAAGAACGGTCCATCTTGACACATCATATGCAGACTTGTTAGTGGGAGCTCAGAAACTTAGATTTACACTTGATCAAAAAGCAGAAGCATTAAAGAAATTAGTACATGACAATTTCGATGGATTCGTCTCGGCAAAAAATACAATCGATACTGTATATAATGAAATGAAAGCGAAAAGTTTGAACGAAAAAGAAGACTTTGGAATCAGATCTTTGGATGTTGCGCTGACAGGTCAGTTGGAATGAGAAAATTTCAAACAAACGCATTGAATCGTTTGCTCGCAATGTTGCATATCTCTTATTTTGACGCTCACACTCTGTCTGTTTTTATACACATTTACGACTGACAGACGCAGCCGTTAAGGCCGAACAAGTTTTTGGTCCCGTGTTAGCTAATCGAACTAAAGCAGAGAAGATACGTAGTACTTTGAGTGTGTTAGAAAAGTTTAAATTCTTTTTTAGTCTCCCAAGCTCTCTAACGGATTCTCTCAAACACGTATGATAATTACATGTTATTTCTGTATGAATGT